CGGCTGCTTGCGTTGTGGCCGAAACGTCGTGAGAATTATTTTATTATGTTTTATTTTTATTGTTTAATTATTTCCCTTCTACGTGACTTTACCGACATAACCAAGAAGATGTATTTATTTACTTAGCGAATTCCATTTCACGTGAATTCCCACAGTCAAAACACCAGATACATTTGACTGGCCGAATCATCACGATCCCAGGCCGACACGTGACTATAGTCACACTGAGAATCAATTAACACGTTTCATTTGTAACAGATGCTGATTGCTTGAGCACGATCATTTATCAAGTGACGAGGCACAGCGCTTGTGCGCACTTATACAGCCATGTTAAAATAACCTAATATCACATTAACATCAAACGACAAAGATTAATTCATACAGTGAGACAATCGTTTCACGTTAGTGACGTGTGCTTATATAATCTATCGATGGTGTATTATTAGACGCTTGTAATTTTCAATATATCTCTTTCTCTATGTGAACCGTGTCCTTTCAAGAACTTTACATTTCATATTCCCAGTGGTAGCCAATCGGTCGAATTGCCTATCTAATTTGGCCTTTTTGACTATAATTCTTCTTATGTAACTTTTTTTTGTACCTTCAAGGCATAATAAATTTATGTTAATAATTGTGTCTGCCCATAAACTTTTTAACATCCTTCTTTTAAAAAATACACGCATCTTTTGCTTCTGGTTTGCTTTACAGCGCGTTCATAATTGTCCAGCTATGGCATCCATGAAGGAAAACAGACCTGCAGCATGTAGTAGCACTGCAGTACTCCAATTCTCGTTGTGTGTAAACTATTTTATATTTTAAACACAGATCGCATTTTTTGAAAACTATCTGTGAGTAGCATGTTATCTCACGCTACCTAAATTGTTAAAATGCTTCACCTGCTTCAAGTGAGTGTCACTGACATGTCGCTCATGACGGAGACTTGTGTTGCCTCCGAAACGTCGTGATTTATTATTTTATTTCTATTATTCTCTCTATTATTTTATTATTTATTTTACCTACGTGACTTTACCGGAAAAAAACTAAGAGTATGAATCCTTGCAGTCACGAAAGCTTCAAATCTAGAATGTAGCTCACATCCAGGAATTATTTTTTTCTTTGATGATGGCTGTTGTCTGCTTCATTATGCATTTATTGTACGTATGTGTGTTGAACTTCTTTCGCGCTGTACGTAACCAACCGTGCTAATCAGAGGTTGCGTCGGTCCGAGATCAAAATTAACTCCCACCATCATTAATTCTACAAATTATTGAAATATATACACGTACTTTTATATATATACATGATGATGCACTCGTACTGAAATTTCAAGAGTTACGTCTGGGCGGCAACTGCCGTTGGGCAACGCACAATTTGGCGCTCAAGAGGATTTCATTTTCTTGGTTCTTTCGGTAAAGTCACGTAGAAGGAAAATAATAAAATAATAAAAATAAAACATAATTAAATAATTCTCACGACGTTTCGGCCACAACGCAAGCAGCCGTCTGCAGGTGGAGAACAGGTCTGTCAAGTAGACAGAGTCTGAAACGTCGTGAGAATTATTTTATTATGTTTTATTTTTATTATTTTATTATTTTCATTCTACGTGACTTCACCGAAATAACCAAGACGATGAATCCCTGCAGTCACGAAAGCTGTAAATCGAAAGGATTTCATTCCATAAAAAATAAATAACCAACACCGTTGCGTCATTGCGATTGGCTACTCGTGTCACAGGGGAGCATCATGGCCAAGGCTGGATGATTATGGACCGGGCCAGTGGGGCCTGTGACCCGGGGCCTCGGACTGCCAGGGGGCCTCCAAGCCTCAGACTCTGCCTTCTCGACAGACCTGTCTGAATGACTCTGTCTTTTAGACTCTGTCTTCTCTGACTCTGCCTTTCAGACTCTGTCTTCTCGACAGACCTGTCTGAATGACTCTGTCTTTCAGACTCTGTCTTCTCTGACTCTGTCTTTCAGACTCTGTCTTCTCGACAGACCTGTCTGAATGACTCTGTCTTTCAGACTCTGTCTTCTCTGACTCTGCCTTTCAGACTCTGTCTTCTCGACAGACCTGTCTGAATGACTCTGTCTTTCAGACTCTGTCTTCTCTGACTCTGTCTTTCAGACTCTGCCTTCTCGACAGACCTGTCTGAATGACTCTGTCTTTCAGACTCTGTCTTCTCTGACTGTCTTTCAGACTCTGTCTTCTCGACAGACCTGTCTGAATGACTCTGTCTTTCAGACTCTGTCTTCTCTGACTCTGCCTTTCAGACTCTGTCTTCTCGACAGACCTGTCTGAATGACTCTGTCTTTCAGACTCTGTCTTCTCTGACTCTGTCTTTCAGACTCTGTCTTCTCGACAGACCTGTCTGAATGACTCTGTCTTTCAGACTCTGTCTTCTCTGACTCTGTCTTTCAAACTCTGTCTTCTCGACAGACCTGTCTGAATGACTCTGTCTTTCAGACTCTGTCTTCTCTGACTCTGTCTTTCAGACTCTGTCTTCTCGACAGACCTGTCTGAATGACTCTGTCTTTCAGACTCTGTCTTCTCTGACTCTGTCTTTCAAACTCTGTCTTCTCGACAGACCTGTCTGAATGACTCTGTCTTTCAGACTCTGTCTTCTCTGACTCTGTCTTTCAGACTCTGTTTTCTCGACAGACCTGTCTGAATGACTCTGTCTTTCAGACTCTGTCTTCTCTGACTCTGTCTTTCAAACTCTGTCTTCTCGACAGACCTGTCTGAATGACTCTGTCTTTCAGACTCTGTCTTCTCTGACTCTGTCTTTCAGACTCTGTCTTCTCGACAGACCTGTCTGAATGACTCTGTCTTTCAGACTCTGTCTTCTCTGACTCTGCCTTTCATACTCTGTCTTCTCGACAGACCTGTCTGAATTACTCTGTCTTTCAGACTCTTGTCTTCTCGACAGACCTGTTCTCCACCTGAGGACGGCTGCTTGCGTTGTGGCCGAAACGTCGTGAGAATTATTTTATTATGTTTTATTTTTATTATATTATTACTTCCATTCTACGTGACTCTACTGAAAGAACCAAGAAGGTTGATTTGCAGCTCTATCAAACATTTTTTATTCCCACTGAGGCTGGCGTAGCGATCGCGATTGCTGAACTACACTGATTTTGATGGGTAAAATGGGCTTTTGAAGGGAGACCTGAAAGAAATCATTTCTGTTTTATCCTCTGGGGTTGTTCCCTTGCGGCAATATGACTATAACCTGTCAAGTGAAAACGCACGAGTGTCGTGCCTTCACTCCGGAGACGTGATACTGATGGTGCTAATTTGGACAATAATCGGTGGTGATAACATTAAAAGAGATGCAATTTTGCTGGTATAGACTCATTACAGTCACGGGATGAGCTGTGGAATGTGAATGCTGGATTTAAGGGTGCGAATACGCAGACCCGCACGGTGACATGTCGTCTTTAAATGCATTCGTTTTGAAATATTGAACATTTGTTTGAATTTTCATTGAACATTGATGGCGGGTTCCTCCCCCCCCCTCCTCAAGCCTGTGAATGATTCCAAATCGTTCCATGAACACGTGGATTATTTTAAACCGATTGAGATGTGTGTGGTGTAGGTGTGTGTGTGTGTTAAGTTGACACAGTTGGCACAGTAGGGGGCACACAGTGATGCCTCGGCCAGTCATCTCAGTCAGTCGACCCATGAGCACCTGGGTTTGCACCGTGACCTTCTGCCGGCGGGCGTTCAACACTTCACGTGGCCTTAACGTGCACCTAGCCTGGCACAAGTGCCGTGGTGACGTCACCGCCACTTAGTGGCGAATGGCGGTTGTTATTGTTGTTGTGTTTATACTTGAACCTTATGGCGGGACCCCGGAATCCCATAAGCCCCCGGCGCTCGCATAAACATTACATTAAATTTTGACTTTAAACTTTCGTGACTGCAGGAATTCATATTCTTTGGTTCTTGCGTTGTGGCCGAAACGTCGTGAGAATTATTTTATTATGTTTTATTTTTATTATTTTATTATTTCCCTTCTACGTGACTTTACCGAAATAACCAGGAAGATAATCCCAAATGTCCTGTCGCAGGCAGCTTTGCTTTAAATCCTTAGTGTGACCCTTGCATTGCCCTAAGGGGGTGAAACAAGTTGTAACCAGCAGCGGGGTTTGATATTTTCAGCCTAACCACCGACGAATGCACAATAAATTAATCCCATATTGACGTGAACACTTCATTACACCAGCTCCAGGATTAGAAGAACAAAAACAAACAGAATAACTTGTTTTTTCTTCAGCCAAAGTGCATTTAATTTAATATGGGGGTCACGTGTATTTACAAAATATTAAATCAGCGTGAGTCGGCTAAAGAAATGTATCAACATAATGAACAGGAACAGGGCTGGTCTGCCTGTCCGCTGCTTCCTGTTGAGGTGCGTTAGTATAACTCCCCCTCATTCATGTGCAGCGGCACAGATTTCATTCCTGGGTAGCTGCACAGATTTCATTCCTGGCCAGCTGCACAGATTTTATTCATGGGACTGAAAAATCTCAAGCAGAGTTGGTTGACAACGTGAAGTGACCAGTTAGCGCGATTTATGAAATAGCCAAAGTTAATTGAAAATGACAGGAGAGAAGAAAACAAATAATCATCACAAATCTGCCAAGTAAAATAATGTAGCGGCCATCGCGCCAATGGTTCTTGTGAATGTGTTGTAGAGGTCGCAACCGGGTACCCGATACCCGTAGCCTACCCGATACCCGGCTACCCGTACCCGGCCAGGTACGGGTACCCGTTTGCGACCCTGGTGCGGCCGGGTACGGGTACGGGTAGGCCGTGAGTCACCGGTGAGTAACCGTTTGTCACTCATTTTGGGTAGGGTACGGGTAGCGTACGGGTACCCATACCCGGCCGGGTACGGGTTGCCGGGTACCCGTTTGCGACCCTGGTGCGGCCGGGTATGGGTACGGGTAAGGAATCAAAACCCGTTTTCGACCTCTGATGTGTTGTGCCTTCCTCAGGTGATGGCCAGGTGAACTTTGAGGAGTTCATGACTCTGCTGGGCCCCAAGCTCACGGCAGCTGACAATCCAGACGGATTCCTGAGCAGTGAGTTTGACACCATCTTCTGGAAGGTAGGGCCTCAACTTCAGCCTGTTCAACCAGAGTTATGGTTAACCACGACTTGCATCTCTGAGTCACGTAGAGGTGGGAACATTATTTAAGCCTTGGCCCTCGAAAGATGGGAAACATTTGCCAAAGTTACGGCTTATCATTTGTGGCACCAGATACGATTTATACAGCGGAACTTGATTGCAGTTTGTTAAATCTTCAGTTTTAGAAATTTACTTAAAATGTAGCTATTTCTAATAAAATTAATCATTATAATCAAGATTTTAAGCTGTTATGATTACATCGATATAAATGCTATAGAAAAAAAACATTAAAAGTAATTATTCTAAATCCAATGCAGAATATTGTTCAGAGGAACATTTAAAGAAATTGCATTCTCGTTAGAAATGCTGGGTGGGGGGAAAAGGCACCGTTCTTCAGTTGATAGCTAAAATAAATAAATATTGTGTCACAGTGACCCCTTTGCACGCGACCTTCCAGATAATTCGGCATCGAGCGGACGACCACGAAGACGTTTCTGAAATCGCCCGCAAATTGCACGAGAGCCCTTTTTTAATATTTCTAATCCACAAATCTTCGGTCCGTCGTGAAAGCCCCCTCGTCCCAGTGCAAAGGTCAAGCGAAGGCCCGGTGCAACTGGCTGTCACTTTACGAGCAGGGCAGTCGCCATGTCTCTGTGCAGGCAGCATGCTTAGCACACGATTTTTCCAGACAGGGCAGAAGTAACAGTAAACGTATATACGAAAAACGTGGACTTTGTAAATGAGTCGGGCAAAGTTTTTCCTGCTAATGTTCCGTATTGTGCACGTGTATGCTATGCTGTAATGAAGACACGCACACACGTAGCATGCAATTTCGGTGCGGTTTGTATAATTAAATGGGGAGATTGAAAAGCCTGAATGGAAGAACGCACGTGCCACTTGGGAGCGCGTCTGGGTATGATTTATAGAGATGCACCAGATCGCTCTGTCCAGCTTGGCAGAATGTCACCGCTGTTGTTACATCTTGTGGTAGATGTTATTTACTTTGAAGAGCCACGGTTTAGCTGTCTGAGTAAAACGTTGCGTCTCTCTCAACGTGCAATCAAACGGCTTGGCTTCAATTACACAAAATAGTACCGCGATAACATTTTTATACGACATGATGGTTAAATTGTTACATTTCTTAAACGCAATATACACTTAAGTACACACGGTCCATTATATATATAATGGCATGAACTTAACTTACCATTAGGTGGTGATTTAAATGAAGTGGTTGATCTCGCATGTCACTGCTGGGTAAGTGTGTGTTACTGTAAACACCGGTGACTGCTCAGAACATGTAGGGCAGTGGTTCTTAACCATTACTGCAGCTAGATTTGAAGCTTTCGTGACTGCAAGGATTCATACTTTCTTTCGATAAAGTCACGTAGGTAAAAAAATGAATATGAAATTAATAAAAATAAAACAATAAAAATCACGACGTTTCGGAGGCAACACAAGTCTCCGTCGTCAGGTGGGACCGTCACAGCCAGATTAGATGCAACAAATCTGGCCGTGTCTCGCGCACCCCCAGAAAGGGCATCTCGCAACCCTAGGGCTTGCATGCACTGCAGGTGAAGAACCGCTGGTGTAGGGCAACGGGCGATCTCCTTTAAGCTGCAAATCACAGACTTAGTGTACAGACGGAGGGCTTCCTTTGCGCACATCACAGAGTTATATATCCCAGAGACAGACACATCCCCAGGCAGTAAGAAAAAAACACACAAGATACAATGCAATGTACGGCTTTCCGATGTATTGTCGGGTTTGTACCGCTTGTTCTGTTGGCATAATGCCCGGCGTTTTCACTCCACGAGTCGACGAGCTTCCATAGAAACTGGATGCAGCACAGCTGCAAAGGCCTGTGTAATAGTAAAGCAGTGTATGGTGTCTCTCTAGATACTTAGCGATATTGTGTTTGGTCATAGAATTAGACAGACGCTGCCACGTGGTGCAGCAACTAAAGCTGGCCTTTTGCAGAAAATATGACACTGGTACATATAAACACTTTCAACTCTTATAAAATACATTTCCCTGTCATGTATCCGCACAAAGCGTACATGTCATTTATCTCTTTACGTGTTATGATTTAAAAAAAAGTTTATTTCATATTCAACTTATATCGTCTACACGTAAGATTTCTGGATAAAATGTAAATGTATTCGTAGGATAATACTGCTAAACACCGATACGTGACCACTTGCCCGGCACATGCATGGTGACAAAAGCGAATACTGTTTACAAATGATGATAGCAATATAACTTTGGAAATTTGACATTGAGCGGTTGCTAGAAATTGATTTGACTCGGACCTACATTCACCGAAGTGAACTTGTTTCGAGGAACATTTAAGTACCCGTACGTTTTGGTGAGAACAAAAAAAGAATGATCTTGCATTCACAATTAACGAGTCTGTTTTCGCAGCTTCTTGTAATCTCGGCATGGTTTTCCAAGTCGCGCCGCATGTTGGGCGTTCCTTCTCTGGATATTTAAACTATATTTCAACTATTTTTATTTTACCAGGCAAGGCCCACTGATATATATATAACTATTTTTCAGAAGCGACGTGGCCACCAATGATAGCTCAACGAAGTGCCTTATCATGTGGACATTTATAGAAACCTAATACTCTAAACGTGTGTTTATAAATGTGGAGGGAAAACTGGAGGATGATAAAAACAATGCACGCGACCACGGGGAGAACATGCAAACTCCAAAAATGCAGGTGTCAGGATCGGGATCGAATGCATGACCTCCTGTATATCAGGCGAGGGAGTTAACATCTCCCCACCGCCACATAGACAACTGCTTACAGCCATCTTCGGGAGCTGAATTGAGTATTCAACTTGAATTGATTATTTAACGTATAAAGATGGTCGCGGCATTGTGTGGCAAGAACTTAGAGAGAGAGAAAAAAATGCTCAACATGCAACTCACCCAGAAATTCACACTAAAACCTTCCATCCCTTGAAATTGGGAAAGTCAGCATTTTACTGTGAAGAAAACAGGACTGAAACATGCGCGTCGCTAAACATTGCCAATATTTTTTTGATTTAAAGCTTTCGTGACTGCATGATTCATATTCTTGGTTCTTTCGGTAAAGTCACGTAGAAGGGAAGTAATAAAATAATATAAGTATAAAACAATAATGTTTTATATTAATATTATTTTATTAGAAGGGAAATATAAAACATTATTGTTTTATACTTATATTATTTTATTATTTCCCTTCTACGTGACTTTACCGAAAGAAACAAGAAGATTGCCAATATTGTTTGAAGATATGACTCTTTCCTTCTGAAAAATTGCCAGAAGCTTCCTTCCCACCCAAAAAATGCGAATCCGGGCCCTGCAAGTGTCACATTACGTGAGTCAGTGGCAGCCGCATGTCAGTCATGTGATCCAGGGGGGGCAGCCCCACGTCAGTCACGTGACCTGCAGCTGCACTGAGAGTAGCTCTCGTCGTCTCCTGTGCCTGTGTTCCAGTTCAACGTGCAGCAGATGACGTTGGAGGAGCTGAAGCAGGTGATCTTCAGCGCGTTCCGCGAGCAGGTGACGATGAAGGACATCGAGACAATCATCATGAACGAGGAGGGGAGCAACATGGAGAACTCGGAGAACTACTGTGCACAGGTGGATGGTACGTTGGCCGGAGGGGATCGTTATGATTTAATTCACTCGTCGGGTGGATTTTCTGATTATCTGACGGTGGTGACAGCTCAAAAGAAAAAAAAAACTGCCCTAATCTTTTAAAGTTTGTAGTATCTGCATCATTGCATCAGACAGAGCAATTTTCATTTGGAACTGCGGCTAGAAGTGTATGATTACCCTGTGCTAGAGATCGGCCCTGGAATGTGACATCTACTTTTGAAGTCACTTCAACAAGCCGCTTTCATAATGCCCTCCCACACATTATCATGCCCTGCATGTCAATCAACTAAAAGTCTCAAATTGCCTGAACAAAAAAAATATACATCTATCGTGATGATTTTTTGTGCATTCATTGGTGGTGACCTGGGCTGAGACCATGATGAACAGCTTACGCTTAACCAATCACGGATGGCTCTGCTCGTATTCAAACCCAGGCGGGATGTCAGCCAGAGTCCAACTCAAGTGCTCTGGCCCTTGAGCCACGGAATTACATCGCAGCTGCTCATTTTAATGCAGTGGACCTCATTGAGCTACTGAGACGTGGATCCCCTTGATGATTTCACTTCAAGAGGGAACGCTTATTGAGCCGTCGGTAATATGAGCACTTGACAAGATAACAAGATGGGGCATGCCAACTTTTTTTTAACTGGTGAGATGTTTCGACTGCAGCAAAGTAGATTATCAGCCATCGTCAGTCGAAATGTCCCTAACATCATTAGGGGGGGGGGGGGTTAAGTCGGTGGAGAACCCATCAAGGGATGATGGTAGGAACAAGGTGGACAGTTCATGTAAACACATCCCAATTTCCAATCTGACTTAAGGAGCAGTACATTCCGGATGCTGGTCAGCAGACAGCATTCACACGACTCAGGTGTGGGGAGGTGTGACACAGAGGTGTGGAATGAGAGCCAGAGTTTTTTGTATTTACCGGCACATTGTGTGTGTGTGTGCGCGCACGCTTGTGGATATATGTGTGCGGCCGTGCGTGTCATCATCCAAGTGGGGAGCGGTAGTGTAGCGGTTAGTGCGCTGCACTACGAACTTGGCGACCCGGGTTCGATTCCCGCTCACGGCAAACACCAGTGACGGTTATCTGAACCGGTCCTGGGCCTCCCCTAGGTCGACTCAGCCTCAAATGAGTACCTGGTGCGGTGTGTAAACATCGCCGCTAGGGAGGCAAAGGCGGTCGGGCGTGGTGCTGGCCACCCACCCCCTCGTGTACCGTTCCGGCCTTCATAGGTGCTCGCTAACAGCACTTGCCCCTACAGTCTGTTAAGGCTATACGGGGGATCTTTGTCTTTGTCATCATCCAAAATGCAGGCATAGGAGATGAGACACATCCTGCCATCCCGTTCGAGAAAAAAACATTATTTTGTTTCAACGTTTTGCTGTTGGAGTCTCTCACACTCCATAAATGACGTCAAGCCCCGAGGTGGGGGAGGGGGGTCAGACATTTGTGACGATGTGTGACGAGGGGGGGAGGGGGGGGTTTGAGAAATATGACGTCACATCAAATGCGCAACTTCAAATAAATATTAATTAAATAGAATTGTTATAACAACACACATTTTTATTAATTTGCATTATTAACTATTTTATTATTTCAATTTACTCAGGTCACCTTTTATGTATTCCATGAAGGAGCATTTTGCTTCTCCATGGGAGAATAAATAAGCATACATTTTGTAAGTTTTTAGAATGGTTGTTATTAAACATTTTTTTCTAATGATTCTACCAGGGCTTTCATTCTGTAAAATGAATATGTGATTCATCTTCTTGGTTCTTTCGGTAAAGTCACGTAGAAGGGAAATAATAAAATAATAAAAATAAAACATAATAAAATAATTCTCACGACGTTTCGGCCACAACGCAAGCAGCCACGTCTGAGACGCTGTCTTTCCGACAGACCTCCTCTTCACCTGAGGACGGCTGCTTGCGTTGTGGCCGAAACGTCGTGAGAATTATTTAATTGTTTTATTTTTATTATTTTTATTATTTTTGTGACGCCGTGTGACGAGGGGGGGAGGGGGGAGGTCAAAAATCGGCCAAAATCGCGTGACGTCATTTATGGACGGCCCCTTAGTATTTGACCTTCTGCATACAGAACCTTTTGAACCAAGCGCCGACCGTTAGACGCCTGATCAAATCCTGGGTTAGCACCGACTTGGCACGAGAGTGATATTCGTTTAGAGTTTGCAGAAAGAGGATTGGAACGAGGTCTGCTGGAGTAAAGTGTGGAACTCCTGAGAACGAAAGAGTGTCCGCACTTTCCTAGGGCTGTGAGCACTACTCTAAATACTACTATATTTTGCCACTGATAAAAGAGATCTCATAGTGTAAATGCTTAGCCCGAGCTCTCAATACTTTGATATTGCACTGTGTTTGAGTTGTACGCCTTCTGGTGTCATCTGGTCCAACACCAATGGGGACTAGGCTCTAAAGAAAGCCGTCTCGAGTGTGGATCAATCAACTTCATGGACAGTGCATATTATTATCATTATCAGAGTTGCATCTTTTTGTTTGCTTTTTTGACTACTTGTGTTGTGGTTATTGCAAACATGATGCCTTGAATAAAGGTGTCAGTTTTGTACCAGTTGAAAAGGGTAAAAACCTACTACTACTGGTCTCATAATGTATCATAATTCCGCGCCGTCTTGTTGTGTGATCCCTGAGATCACGGAACAGTTAAGTAGAGGCACGGCGAGTGCTGTGGTGGGCTGGGGTGAAAGAAAATAAGTCTCCTTCGGTTATAGAAAAGGTTACAAAGTGTGAAACTTCTTCTTGGTTCTTTCGGTAAAGTCGCGTAGAAGGGAAGTAATAAAATAATAAAAATAAAACATAATAAAATAATTCTCACGACGTTTCGGCCACAACGCAAGCAGCCGTCTTCAGGTGAAGACGGCTGCTTGAAACGTCGTGAGAATTATTTTATTATGTTTTATGTTTATTATTTTATTACTTCCCTTCTACGTGACTTTACCGAAAGAACCAAGAAGATGAATCCCTGCAGTCACGAAAGCTTTAAATCGAAAAAAAAAAGTTTGAAACTGTTATTCCTTTGAGATTTCTTTCCCACTGGGCTCAGTGGTTTTGTTTTCGTTTTCTTCCCCATCTGGGTCAATGCTCAGTCAATGCGCCACGTGCACACTCTGCTCACAGCAGGGTTGCTCATTCACACATTTGGACAGTGCATGATGTTAAATAACACTTTACCGTGCTTTGTCAATACACTGCTGGATGAAGGCTTGCCCACGCCCAGGGACATATTTTACAATAGGCCGCAGTCGGCACTGAGGCTAGGGCCTACGAAAACTAAAAGGGCCTACGAAAAAAATGTGACCGTGTATTTTTTGTTGAATAAAGAATATTTTTACATAGCAAGGCTAAGCACGGTGTAAATACAAAGAGACAGGGTCATGTCAATATTTTTTTTCAAAAGGTGAGATAAATTAACAACACCGGAGATGAGCTCTTGGAGATGTTTTTATAGTGCAAAATTAGCAAATAACATCTTAAAATTGTGTTTTTTCGCACAATCCCATGCACAATAGAGAGTCGTAGTGCAAGGAATAACAAGGTGTTATCACGGAAGTTATCACTGAAGGTCTACGAAACAGAAGTGCCAAGGGCCTCCAAGAACCTCAATCCAGCCCTGCTCACGCCTTGTCAGTCGTGCAAGTTTGATAATTGGTTTTTTACCCTTCTATCTGGCAACAAAACTGACACCCTTTTTACAAGGAGTCATGTTTGCATAGACCGCAATACCTGCAGTCATAAATACAAACTAAAGACATAACTCTGATAATGTGCACTGTCCTTGAAGTTGATTGGTCCACACCCGAGACAGCTTTCCTTAGAGCCTAGTCTCACATGGGTTGGACCAGAAGACGCCAAAAGGCGCACAACTCAAAGACAATGCACCATCAGAGTATGAGAGCTCGGGGAAAACATCTACACTATGGGGACCTCATTTGCCAGTAAAAATATGATAATTGGTTTTTTACCCTTCTATCTGGCAACAAAACTGACACCTTTTTACAAGGAATCATGTTTGCATAGACCGCAATACCTGCAGTCATAATACAAACAAAAGAACATAACTCTGATAATGTGCACTGTGGCGTCATCTGGTCCAACCCATGTGAGACTAGGCTCTAAAGAAAGCTGTCTCGGGTGTGGACCAATCAACTTCAAGGACAGTGCACATTATCAGAGTTATGTTCTTTTGTTTGTATTATGACTGCAGGTATTGCGGTCTATGCAAACATGACTCCTTGTAAAAAGGTGTCAGTTTTGTTGCCAGATAGAAGGGTAAAAAACCAATTATCATATTTTTACTGGCAAATGAGGTTCCCATAGTGACGTGCAAGTTGTTTGACCATACTTCACCGCGCTTATCGGTGCGGGCTGGTGAACAGGGTACAGGATGGATTCAGCGATTACTAGCCGCTGGCGTTAGCCTTGATCAGGAATTGAACAGAGTTGTTGTGGATTCATATGACAGGGCAGGAAGCACTGCACAACCACTCCTTCCCAATGTCTAATATGAAGATATAATTTACCAGACCTGGATTATTGTTATATACTACAAAAATCAGTAAACCAATACTTGGCATCAGTGCAAAAGCAAAATAGGAATGCTTCCATTATATTTACTGCATACGAGGGAATAATAATTCATAATTTAATTGACTAATATTATTTCTAAGCTAACAATACATGCATATTTTTGCATGTGTACGAATACATATTCTTCAGTTTATAACCATTGCATGTAATGGGGTCACAATACTCCATCAGCCACGAGTGGCCACTCATTCAGCACAAGGGCGCCACAGTGGCGAGATGTTAACTACCTCGCCAGGTATGCAGAAGGTCGTGAGTTCGATCCCGACTCTGACGCCTGCTGTATATTTGGAGTTTGCATGTTCCCCCCGTGGTCACGTAGATTTTTCTCCAAGTCCTCCAATTTTTTTCCCTCCCACATTT